TGTAAAGCAGGTATCCAATTATGCCTTCATTTAATAATCTTACTGTCTTCTTTGACTATGTCCAGCACCTCGTGATTGTGAGATCGGTCGACGCTCGCATTCGACTGATGCATCTCAATGCTCTGAATCGGAGATTGGATTGACTTCAATCGGGTTCCAATGAGATTTGTGAAGGCAATGCTTACAAATAAGATGCATTTCGTTTTTTGGGAGCTGAGGGAATGGAATTAGGTTCAAATTAATTGAACTCTCTGGGCATTTCAAATAAGTTGTTTTTTGTTTAGAGTTAAGTTTGCGTTAGTTATAAAAATGTGTTTATTGTAAATAAAGAAAACCAAAGGCATTTTTAAACAGTTGTTACTTACTAGCTGACCCGGCGAGTATCGTATCGTTTAATGTTACAGTTCGACTTATACCATACTAGCGACCCGCCCTGCTGACTTCGTATCTGTGCTATGTTTTATACATTTACACCTTCCTTTTTCTCTTGAATCATACTATCATGTAAACATAAAGATTATATTGATTGATTTGTATTTCTGTATGTTTGTAAGATAAACTCAAAAACTACTGGAGCTATTTCAAAAATTCTTTCACCGTTAGAATGCTACATTGTCTTTAGGTAACATAGGCTACAGCAGGTCAAAATTCACGCGAGCGAATCCGCGGGCAAAAACTACTACACTAATCCAATTACAGCGTTCAAGTTTATCATAACAGGATGACAACTATTTACCATCAAGTTGTCTAATAAAAGGAGAACGACCTACAAACGACAGACAAACTAAGCCCTCAAGTAATGTGGGCGAATTCATTTCAGTGTACTATTTCTACTGCTTCACCGCTGTGCCATAGTGTAGGTGGAAGGAGTAGCCTCGCTTCTATAGTCCGGTCGAGGAGTACATAGAATTTCGTCATTATATTGCTGTCGCGACTGTGCGACCTGTTGAGTGTACGGCCGCGATAACAACACAACTACGCGCGAGCGGTAAGGATGGGTAGCTTGGGGTCATTGAACAAAATTCTACATGTTCGGCGACCGGGCTTTAATAATGCTCTACTTTAAAAAAAGAGAGTTTTACGTTAGATTTGGCATGTATTTTGTTTTATCACCTTATGGAAAGTGATAGTCAGGCAGAAGATGGAAGCAAGCTTCACCTAGAATCCTCAACCACTGATTATCGCTTACCTCTAAGTGTCGGAACATAACAATGCTGTTATCATTGTTGTTATAGCGACAGACTTAGGTAGGATAGTGGCAGCTAGCCAGGCGGATTTAGAATAAGCCCTACCCCCAACCAAAACCGGGCAGAAAATTCTGCCCCCACTGGGAATCGAATCCGGGACCTCTAGTTCAGAAAGCTGGTGTTCTACCATGTTTCCAACTTTCCATGCTTTATGTTATAATGGAAAAGTGGACCTACTGTATTCGCCCCTACCTCGGAAGCGTGTTGTGCTGTTCGTAATTGAACAATGTAAATACGGTGTAAACATCTACCTATATGTGCGTTATGCGAGGAATGGAATATATGTGCGTTATGCGAGGAATGGAAAAATTGGAGTAAGCAGTTTGCTTAGAAGCCTACCGATTGTAATCGAAAAAGTTATGTAGGTAGGTAACGAGTAACTTTAATTTCGGCTTCAAGTTATGATGCTTCCCGTTTCGTTTTTTGTACTAAAAGAGTATGTTTTGGTCTTAGAAACCTTTATCACCAATCCAACGAAGCACTTCAAAACAATATTTTACTCTGCCATACGTATCATTGAATTTAGCTTAGAACTTACTAGCTGTGCCCGCGACTTCGCGTGAAAATAATTTGAATAATATTTCCCGTTTTTGCTACATTTTTCTTTACTGTTCCTCTTTTATTGGCTGTTGGATGATGAATATAGCCTTCCTCTATAAATGGACTATCCAACACAAAAATATTTTTTCCAATCGAACCAGTAGCTCCTGAGATTAGTGCGTTTAAGCAAACAAACAAACTCTTCAGCTTTTTAATATACGAGTAAGTTTGTAGAGATAGTAGTGATGATGTACAGTCAGCAGGTAGCATAATAATTGTTGCTAATATACAAATTATAATCTTTCGCCCTTCTCTATCTGTACACTAATCTGACACCAGAGACTTTGATGCCTTTGGTGTCTAAATAGATAGACCGGCAAAACATCAATTACTTAGCACCAACTTAGACAAGGGGCTGTTAAAAACATACGCAATTAGGGGTCTATCCATCTTCGAGTACTAATAGGATCCTTTCGTGTTGAACAATGAACCTAGTAGCTTTATATTGTTGTTCTTTCCAGCTAACTCTGGCGATTTTTAAGTAAAATTTGGTGATTGATACCATTAAAAAATTTAAAAAGCTTTATAGTGCTGATGTCCTTTTTGCGTTTCTCAATTCAATAAGAGGTTGTTCGATACAGATAAACACTAATGGAGGCTTAAAAGAAAAAGTAAATTGCATACTTAACTACTTTTCCTTCAGTTATGACCATGGAATGACCTAATAATTACTTATAACACAAAAGTAAGTCTTTTGGTTTGCCTATAATGGATTTTGTTAGAGATAGGAAAACATTCTGTCGAAAAAATAATCTTAGATATAGATTGAACATTTATTTATAGAGTTAAACATAACTAATTAATTCATATTGATATTTTGAAAGGTTTTGGATGTAAAAAATAGCATTTTCTTAACATCCGAAAATAAGGAATAATTTTAATTTATCTACTCACTATAAAAATGCTAGCGTGGGGAGGGACTTCCCCAGACACACTTTATAGTCTTTTTCACCTAAGATGATCCGTATGACACTTCAAGGTTATCCATATTACGCATACTGCATATGCAGAATATTTTTGAAAAAATATTTGTATTTTATAAGCAATATAATAAAAAAAAATTAACTACTTGTCTTGAAATATTTAGTAAAATCTGAGTCTATTGATTATATTTTAATTAAATACGATGTAAAAATATTTTTTATTTAATGTACGCAATGTGTGAAACGGAATAGATTTAGTGCTGGGGTATTTGTTGTATAACAAAATCGATTATTTCCGCGGTTCATTAATCGATTGCAGTGAATATTTAGTTATTAAAAACATCACAAAAATCAACTATATTATTCGATTGTTGACTTTAATAAACGCATTGAAAATAAATTAATAATTTTTAATTTAAATAAATAGAACCAGTACTTTTTAGGAATCGTTTTTTTGAACACGAAGTCCATGGAATTTGAATATTATCAACAAAAAATTGTTACATTAATATTTGTAATTAAATAAAACATGTTTTTTGTTAAATAACACCTATACAAAATATTTCTCTGAAAGTAGGTTTTACTAACTCTTAGAAAAAAATCGAGAGATAAATCGCTATGGTTTAGTTATGTGACATCTCTATTTTCAAACTCGAAACGTCATACGAATCATCTTACGTGAAAAAGACTATAGGAATAAAGGGGTAAGCCACGAATAGGAAAAGAATAAAGTTACCATTTCAGTACCTTTGAACATTTCTGTTGCCTTATTGAATAATGTATCTATTAGGTACTTCCAAAGGCCTCTTTAGGCAAATGTGATTTTTACGTGCCTTTTTTACGAGCGTGTAGCCAAAACGTTTGGGCAGATAGGTAATAATATGATAATGTTTGAAACAATATTACATGCAGGGTTAACCGTCTTACTTGAAATTTGTACTAAAACATTAAAGGTATTGTGTTGGAGCATTTTTGATAGTCATAACTTGCTTGGCATTTATGTAAGTCTATATTCAAGAATATTATCTAAGACTTCAAAAAGTTTTTCGTCTTCGAAGATCGACTTCTCCAAAGATTCTTACTGTAGATTTGTAGGGCAAGGAGTAGCTAAGTATGACTGCAATTTATTGTTATCAATATTATTAAAACGTTTGTCATGTCAATCAATTGGATTTACTGGAGCTGGAATGTTGTGATAATCTCTAGATTTATTGGTTAACAGTCTCAACTTATTATTAGTTTAAGTATCTACTATAATAATACATATTAGTGATATATTGTTTGAAGTAATCACAGCATTACTTGTCTGTGGGAGTCAGCAAAGATACACCCGCAAGATAATGGACGCGGGCGCGAATGATTTAGTGCCGCCATCTTGGGGAAATGAGGGTATTTCCGGAAATTGTGATGTAATTGCTCGCGTACTTAGCTTTGATATCTGGGCTTGGTGATTGGGTAGATGACACCATTAAACTTATTAATCAAAACACTATTTAGCTTGCAAATTGAATAACTACAAAGTTTTCAATTTACTGTAAAGTAGCTTTGATAAGCTGTTATTATTTTTTGCTCTGTAGAAGTGATATTCTATTAACTGTTAAAGAACCTAACCTAATCTCTGTACAATCAAATCAATTGTTGTACTGTGGGATAAGTCAGTACCATTTATACCACCAATACCTACTGTCTAATGTTACACGTAGTCCGGCCATGACTGGTATCAACTAGAGAGCCAATATAGCGCCGAATGTTGGCAGAAAGTGCTTAAAAAAAAGGTTTTTTTAGAACAATCTTTTCCTCTTATTTCAGAGAAAAAACACTTTTATTACGTCTTCTGTGTGAAAGATGCTTTTGCATTATTCAAGTGATCCGGCATGAAAATATAAAGATATCGCCGGATCGGAATCTAATCTATTGCCAAAACCCCTGAATGATATTCAGGGGGTTTGGCATTCAAATACAAGTGTCGGTATAAAAAGGTGTAGTTTTTAGTTTATATTACTTTCTTAATGACGGTATTTAGCTCTTTTCAAAGAAGGAAACAAAATGTCTACAATCATCGGTCGGCTTTGCCAGTGACAAAAACCCACAAGGTTGGCAGATGACCTCATAAAGTTTGCGGGAAGGCATTGAATGCGGGCCGCTACCAACCGGCCAATCTGGGAACCATTGCGGTAGGCATAGTGGACGTTCCATGGCTGAAATGATTATGAAAAGATGGTGGGCGTACCTTAAGGAACCTGGGGAACCTGATGATGGGGTTGGTGCCGATCTTGAGCTGCAGCAGGTCTAACGGCGTCAGCGAGGCGATGTCCAGCAGAAACGGCCGCGAGGTGAGGTAGTGCTTGGCCAGCTTCTTCGAGTCGTATACCTGGTGGAAGAAAAGCGAAAGTATGGTTGAAAGTAGGTACATAATAATACATAATAATAGTCTTTATTTTATGATCAGCATCAAATCAGCGTCAAGGTGTTTTAGTTACTTAACTAAAGCTATAACTATAGTATACCTACCTAATTATCAGCATTTTTTAAACCAAACCAAAATGGACTGTAAATGGAAAAGGACGACGTAAATCAACTAGTTTTTTCGATCGAACGCACAGCGTTGAATAGAGCTATGTGATTGGTTCGTATGTGGGTGTGACCCTGTGCGTCCACGCACACTGTGAGATCTCATAGTAATGTTTGTAAATACGGGCGTAAGTGTTTAAAAAAATGAATCAATGTGCAAGTTAACAGTCACGTAACAAGCTTCCATCATCATAACAATAATATGTCCATGTTACCCACCATCAAACCCTGCTCCAGGTAGCCCGTCCGCAGCTGAACCACCAGGTCCAGCGCGAACACCACGTCGCTGATCCCGTCGCACGTCAGCCAGAAGTAGTGGCACATGATCTGGTGGCAAGAAAAAGAAGGCATATAGCACACGTCAACCAGAAATAATGGCACATGATCTGGTGGGAAGAAGAATTGATGAAATAAACGCGGCCGCAACACTTGAAAATTTCGACGGGTTCATCCAGTGTCTTAGTAGCTCAGATAAAAAATCCGTCGCCCGGCAAGTGAAAGGTCGTGTGTTCGATTCCCGCCTTAGGCAGATCAATCTTTTTAAGTTGCTTATTTAAAATTTAGTTTGAGAAGCGACTCTAATCACTTAGAAATTTTAATAAGCAGAAGTTTATTATATTCATAGAGTTCCTGGTTCCATAATTATTATGGTACACGTCAACCAAAAGTAGTAACAAATTCTGGTAAGAAGAAGAAAGAGTTTCTACTTCCTCGTTAAATACGGTTCTAAAATATCAAAACATATTTATTTGTGTGGAATAATTGAATTAATTCTTACTGGTTCTTAGATATCGTTAAATTAATCTTGCTCTTATGAGGTAAACGAAATACATAACCGACACTACGAGAGTTTTAAATAATAAATATTGCATTAGAATAGTATTGGTTAACTCGTAAGTTCAAGTAGAAAAGAAGAAAACAACAGACAATCGAAATAGAACAAATCAATTGAAAAGAAGTTTCTCGCCAGCCATGCGAGCGGCCAAGAAGTTTGGTCATATGCAACCTTTACAATTTTCATAGGCTATCATCTGATAGATCTGTACAAGAATATTCGCTCTTACTTTTCCAATTTTTCTTTGAAAACCTTCGTCGGACTTCAAAAATTGTTTAAAAATAATTTAGAATATGGCCAGACATTCGAATTTTGCTCCCAGCTTCACATCAAATGATTGATTTTTATGAATAGATGATGGATGGATATCTACTTTGTCTGTAAAATATATTCCTTTCAAGTCTTAAAGAATATAACATCTTTTCACCGGCGCACTGACTTAAGAATGGTAACCCTCTCCCAACGGAAAGAATACTTTTAATGAACGTTTATTAAAAGTTTCAAAGGAAAATAAGTTCTGCAAGTTATAAATGATACTTTAAAAGAAAAGAAAGACAATGTCTAGGATATAAAGACTGAATCTAGTGATTTTAAATGATATAAACATAACATTTAAGATTTTGGAGATATTTGAAACTATGATTTTTGTGGATATTATAATAGCTGCCTTGTGGGACGTCCACCCACAAGGTGGACTGACGACATCGTAAAGGTAGCAGGGACGCGCTGGACGCAGGCCGCTACCAATTGATCAAGATGTAAAGCATTGGGGGAGGCCTAAGTTCAGCAGTAGACGTATTATGGCTGAAATAATGATGATGATGATGAATGGCTACCTTTATCAAATAGCAACAAAACACTATGGCAGTGACATCTTCTTGATATAATTTTAAATCTGTGTACGTAATGTATATGTTAGGCTGGTAGTGTTCATCAACGATTTTGTGCAGTTACGCGTTGATGATATTAGGTATATTGATCTGTACAACAAACTTACTATTGAATGCATTGTGGACAGTTTGAAATATTAAAGTTTTGAGGCAAGCGTTTCTTTTTGTAATTAGGTGTCTAGGAATGCAATAAGTATTCGGGAATATTTCAACCAGTCTACTTTTGCTAGCCTTAATGTACGACACGATCTGTCAAGCCTGGACTTAACTTAACTTATTGTGTCTTGGATTAGTCTTTAAGACAGTTCTAAATCTTTCGTATTCTTGAGAAATGGTATTCATTTCGCGATCGTTGAACCTTTATGTAAGTCCTAAAGCCGTACATAATTTAACGTTATGTTTTTTTATACTAAAATTATTAAATATCTTTCATACCTGCATTATAGCAACTTTTTTGGATAAATTCTATCAACAAAGAAACATCGTCAGTCGTACCTTTTACTTCCTTAATTTGCTGCTAATGAGAACTAATTAACAGAGTTCCTTTGTACCTAACGTCGAAACTTACTTCGTATTTGTTGTTTCAATTAACTCCTAATTCTTCACTTAGATAGTTGTAATAGCTTCCGTCTACGCCACCGAGTGAAGTTTACTTCCATTTACTAAGAAAACAGGTTCCTCCCGTTCGATCCACGGAGGAATCTTGTAGAACACTTCTGCTTTGAAAATACATCTAAAGTTTATTTAGTGTGAAATAACTGCACTTGCAAGGACAACCTTTATTTCCCAAGAGGTTTACAGGGTAAATACGAAGAAAAAGGTTGGGCCCAAAATGCTCCCTTGGGCGACCCCCGTAATGAATTGACACGCGTGGTGCAATGATACTGATGGAACCGGACTCTAAAGGAAACTCTTGAGCCGAAAAAGGTGAACGATTCGAATTTTGCCGAAGAAAAATACTTAGATAAAATAAAAAAGCACAATAGGATTATGGTTTTCTGTGTTACATGCATCGAAAGATTCAGCCGATTTGTTGGTTTATGTATATTGTAATTAATTTGTACTCTTTGAGTGTGAAGGTCATGCAAAGAAGGGCTACCAAAATAGATTTTTTTCAATAATGTCCTGGATTTATTATTCTTTCAATTTTTTTTCTTACAATAGTCACTAGTTCCTAAAAAAAGTAATTTTATTAAGCCAACTGGTCAAGCCCAATAAAAGCATATCACTGATAAAGGATCTATAGATTACACAAAATTGCGTCCCTGCAGAAGATGAAATCCACGAAATATATTCGCAGCCAAATGTTGTGGAAATCTACTACAAAAACTTGCCGTACCCTTGAGATTGGCAATAACATAATTACTGCGTAACATCCGTTATTGGTCAGCCCCAGTTATTTCGCTTGGAAGGTTATCCGAGACGTATTAATATTGGGAAAAATCCAATACTTGGTCAAATAGCGTGTTACTGTGAACCTACATATATTACTTACCTATAAGACTAGTATAATACAACTCTTCTATTTATTACATTACGTGAATTCAAAATTTATGAAGAAGCTTATACCGTATACATATTTCAGTGATCATAAGCAGCTTTTGCGTTGGAAAACGTGAAAGTGAGACTTTTAATTTAATTTTAGTTAATGTAAAGTATAAGCAATTAGTCCAATTTACTGGTAATCTGGTACAGTTGACAGTTGTGAACATGCTTTTTAATTAATACAGTTTTGACTGACTTTTTTGGCACCGTTTAGTTTGAAAAATAGGATTTCCTCAAGTATCAATAAATTAAACCTTTACAGTTTTTGAAAGGTTGGCTTGCTTGTTATCTTTACTTATTTCCAGATTCTTATAAAATTTTATGAGGAATATTTCTTCCATCTAATATTAGCATGCTTTATTTGTAAAAAAATGGATTTTACGTTTTCCTGCGCATTTTTTCTCTTCACTTTCTTTGGACTTCATTGAATAATGGAAAAACCCCAACAATGAAGATTAGTATATAGACTACATATTGACCCCCACCTCATTATAAGCTTTGTAACTCAATATGCTTGAACTAAAATTGTGTAAGTCGCAGTTAACATGTCTCTTGGCTCGTTTATAACGAGTAAGTATGTTTTTTTAAAATCTGATTTTGTTTTTTCCTTTGCTAAATGCGAGTGAAATTGTATTTTTTATAACAAAAATCGATTACACAGATATTCAATTAAGGGACTTGTTGGCATTAGAGTAGTGCCAAGAGCAATACCAATGAACCATCTTCTGCATATTGTTATGGTAAATACAAATCTTCATTGGAAGCCTTTTTTATATTTCACACAAATTAGGATCATTACTGATACTATTATTTGTGTACGTACCTACTATTAGGCATTAATGCATCAATTCATTATTATGTTGCAGTTTTTAAAATTAAGTGANGATAAACAGACAAAGTGAGTGAGTGATATCATTAGATTTAAAATAAATATCTGTCACAAAAATGCCGATTTATAATGAAGCTGCAAGCCAAAGGTACTGAGATTTTTTTTTACGTTTAGGCACTTGTACTTATGTGTAAATACCTAAAGAGTGGAAAATTTACTGTGTCATAGGTATCTTCTTAAAATAACTGACGGGTGAACCCACTGAATCAAGTTTTACAAATCAATAGTTATTTCAATAACCCAATCAAATAACTGATACATATCGCCAATCCGTGCGTTATCCGATCTCACGGCTGGGTGGTTCTAAATTTTAGATAGCATCGATTCGCTCTGTTGGTGAGTGACTGAGATAGAAACATTGTAGGTACAAGTAAATTATATAGGGTGCAAAAAGATACATTTGCCAAGTGGAAATTTTAATATAGACTAATTATGGATTTCCGCAAAGAAACGCCTGATACTATATAGCAGTGGTTTTCAACCTTTTTCATGACACGACCCCCCTAGTATGAAAAAATGTTTGGCGACCCCCCCGACCGTTCGCTTATTTTTTCATGCATTTTATAATGTTACAAATGTTTGTAGGGACCGAATACTTCAATCCATACACCAGCATCTGTCTTTATAACTAATGTTTATTTTACTGAGGTAGTTTTTACGACCTCTCGCGACCCCCCTGTAGAGGCTTCGCGATCCACAGGTTGAAAAACACTGCTATACATAGGATGGTTTTACCTGAAATATCAACTTTAATAATCAACTTTATGTAGAAATCTTTGTAATTTAGCTTACGGATGATCTAGATTGCTAAACAGTAAAATACCTAATTATGGGTAGAAGTCCATGTATGTAAAATCTTTTAAGGCAAGCTACTTATTTTAGATTATTTCAAATATATTATGTTATAGCACCGAAAAGGTTTCCGAAAAGGTTATAGTACCATAGACCACATCCATACGCTGCGGCAGGTTATACAGAAGACTGAGGAGTATAACTTGCCACTATGCTTGGCGTTCGTGGACTATGAGAAGGCCTTCGATTCGATTGAGACTTGGGCAGTGTTACAATCTCTCCAGCGGTGCCGTATTGACTATCGGTATATCGAGGTGCTGAAGTGCTTGTACAAAAACGCCACCATGTCGGTCCGAGTACAGGAGCAGAGCACGAG